CTCGGGACTGCTCCGCAGGACTCAGAGAGGCAGGAATCCAGGCCATGACTTAGAGATGTCACTTTAGAGAAAAGGAAGGAGTCTGTCAACTGATTTAAAGAGCTCTGTCTTCAGATGTATATACTCATAGTCTGTTTGTAGCTGTTCCTTTATCCTTAAACTCACCTTTCTCAGACGAGTGTTGTCTTTGTGACTCGTTTTCCCGTTTTACACAGTTGGAAATCTTCATTTGAAGCCAATTTCTACTTTATCAAAACTTTTAGGCTGGGGGATAGGGCTCATCAAAATGTATTTTTACCTTGGTTTCTGCATTCTCCTAAGGAGTGGCCAGAGAGGAATGCAACAGAAACCCATCATGGGCCAAGTATTGTGCTGGGGTCCATGCTATTGCATTGAATCCTTACAATAGCCCTGGGTGTAGGAATCAGTGTCTTCATGGTGCTCATGAGAAATAAGAGGCCTCTTTCCTCTATCAGTATGTAACTACTGCACCTGGGATTCAAACCCAATCCCACAGATGGTCCTCTTCCAACTCTGCCTCTTCACTTCTTCTTGAAGATACTTTAAATTTGTCTCTATGATTTAAACATAATTATTTTATAGTCTGACAATTCTAATAACTGAGATCTTTGTGGGTTTGTTTCTATTGTCTGTTGATTCTGGTGATTTTTTTATGTCATCTTTTTTCTATGTCTGTCTTATTATATCTGATTAAATGCTGATCATTCTACTTAAAATATTTGTAGTGATAATTGGAGGTTAAAATGTAGGTATCTCCCTTCAGAAAGAATTCGAATGTGCATCTTCCAGGCATGTGGGATGTTACCAATCTAGTGTCACCTCAATCCAAAATTCAGACTTGATTGTTTTTGAACCAGCAGGTGACAAGGCTTTCAATGACTGGTTTGTTTCTGGCTCACCCGGCCCTCTGGTTACATCTTTGGGGCTCTTAGTTTTCTGTGTGTGAGGTCTCATACTAGATTTCCCACCTGGTTTGGCTCTGTGCCTTGACACCTGTTCTTACTCCAGAAAATAGAAATAGGCTCTGATTTCCTAAGATGGGAAAAATTCTATCAGGCAAAACTAACTGCCATGTCCACCCATCTGAGTGTCCACTTGCTGCCTTGGCCTGGTATCTCCCTATTAAATTGTCAGCTTTCCATTGTTTTTGAAGATGTGTGCTTTGCATTTTACTCAGCATGTTTACTGGTTTTCATTAGGAGGGTTTGCTCAAATAAGGCCGCCTGCTGTTACCTCAACACGGACAGGTAGAGGCTGTATTTTTTCTTCTTACGCATCCCTGGGGTGTTATCTTTCTCATTTCTCTTCTGTGAGGTCTGCTGCCTTTTGCACAGTCCTGAACTCCTCCACTGGCTCTTGTCATGGCAGCTTAGGTCTGTGGATTAGTGGTTTGTTTGGCAGGTTGATAGCTGTGCCACGTTGGTGGGTGTCTTACATAAGTCCCAGGCCATCTGGAAAACAAGGCTATCTCTGTTTGTAACCTTGGAGATAGAAATCCGATGGCGGCCCACGCCCAATTTCTAAATTGTTGTAATGTAACAAATACAAGCAGAATCATGGCACTTTCTAAGCCAGTAACCTGAAGAGATGCTGCCCAGTAGCATGAAACAATGAGCTTCTAAAATAGGTATGCACGTGTGTGTGTGTGTGTGTGTGTGTGTGTGTGTGTGTGTGTGGTAAAGAATTGGGTTTTTCCAAAGAGTGGATTGGCCTTTGCTCTCAGCTTCTGGGGAGAAATCTATGACCTACCTGACAGAATGTCCTTCTTAGGGTGGGTGCCAGTCTCGTCAGACAGACCAGTCATGTGATCGAGGGTGGGGGCTTTGGGTCAACAGTGTCACTTGGCCTGGAGACTGAGTTCACCCACATGGGCAGTCAGTCAATTAATCAAGCCAATGTAATGGAACCCCAATAAAAGCTCTGGACTTTGAAGCTCAGGTGAACTTCCATGGTGGTACTACTCTGTGTGTATTGTCACATGTCCATCCCAGGAGGGCCACTTGTTCTGATCCTAGGGGAGAGGACAATGGAAGCTTCATGTTTGGAACCCATCAGACTGCCCTATGTGTCTCTTCTTTTGGCTGATGTTAATCTGTACCCATTTCTGGGATAAGCCATAACTGTGGGGATGATAGGTTTTAGTGAGCTCTTTGGGCTTTTCTAGCAAATTACTGAAACTGAAGGTGGTTTTGGGAACCCCTTAAACTTGCAGTTGGTGTCAGAAGGGAGGGCAGTCTAATGGAAGACTGTGCCTTCAACCTTTGTAATTTGGCTAACACTGGGCAGTATGTATAGGTGTGTACACTGTGTGTGTGTGTGTAATTGTGTAATAAACTCTGGCATGGGGCTCTTATAATTACAACAGCCTGACTAAGGCAAAAACATTGGCGAGGCTTAGATACTTTTCTTTTTGCATCTATGTATTCAACCTGCTCACTATGAGGTCCTTCCCACTGGCCTTTTACACCCAAACTAGCCGACTGTGATGGGTGTCACTTTCATCCTATTGTGCTCTGTGCCTTTGCACAGTTCCTTCCAGTCAGTCCATGTGTACTTTGCCTCCAACTCTGATTAAAGAAAGAAAGTGAACCCATAGAAATGTTTTTTCCCTCCTAAGAGTTGGGGCCTCATAAATCACGGTGACAGGAAATGTGACGGTGGTCTCTTTCTGCTCTTGAGGAGTTTGGGAGAGGAGAGGCGTGCAGACTCCAGCAGGCCAGCTCCTCGGTCCTAACTGGGTAATTTGCTGCTTGAGTGTTCCTGCAATGGAAACGTAGAGACACCCACGAGTGTCATGCGGGCAGGTTAGTGCCTGCTGCGGGACCCCCAGCAATTAACAATGAACTCGTCAAGATTTCCTTCTCGTTCCCTCCCTAGCAGTGAGGGCTTTGTTTTTATCCCCTGGTTTAGCACAGGGATCAGTCCTTTTGTACATGATCGGTGCGACTGTGCATGTTTGCAGAAACTGTCTGGCTTTACACCTGGCAGCTCGCTTGGTGGGCAGTAGTTCTGTAAAGAGAAAGAAAATATACAGATAGTCACATGTCCCCAGGTTGAAGACAAGGCAGTGAGAGGAGGTTGTTGTTTTCTGCCCTGATATTTGGTTTTGGTTGTTTTAGTTCTTAGAGATATACCATCCAGAACTTAAGTTAGTTTTTAAAAGAGAATTATTATTATTATTATTTTTATTTATTTTTTTTTTAGCTGAGCCATCCTGCCACCTGTTGGCAGCTCAGCGGCGACTCAGCTTGGGCCAGGCATTGAACCACCATTGCTCAGAGCTCAAACTCTTGAGCAAGCTCCTAACCAACTGAGTCACTCAGCCAGCCCTAAAAAAGAATTATTTTTTTTTAAAAACTGGTATTTTGCAAATTGTGGTTGACAGAGAGAGAAGACACACAGGGCAATGTGGACAAGTAGGAGAAAGAGGAATGTCTAGTAAATGTTTTGATTCTTGCAAAGCCTGATGTGCTTGTGTGTTCTATATTCTATTTTCTAACAATACTTCATTTACAAAGAGCCAGTCCAGCTTGGCTTAATTCCTGCCCCGAGGCCATTCATAAGGCACTGTAAGTAAAGCACTTTGCACGCCTCCATGAACAAAGGTAGACGGCATATGCATTAGTTAATCTGCCAGGAACCTTTTGTCTACAGAATATCCAGTAAAAAACAAAAATTCCAATATTTGGAGACCAACACATGTGTAGTAGTATATGGGTAGTGCTTCTAAGAGCCCTAAAACAATGCAGATTTACACCATAGGAAAAGTGAGGGTGGGTTTTGCTTAGAAGAGTCACTTTGGTTGAAAGCAATACCCAGCACAATTAAAATTTGATTTGTTACATGAATGTTCATTTTCACCCAACTTATTTTGGAGTATGTCTCTCTTATAAAGTCAACCTGCCTTTTAAATTACGTTTTTGCCTTGAAAAATGGATAAGGCTTACTTAGCCTCGTTTTTAAAAAGAAAACGCTCAGTGCATCGATATATATAACCTCAGAGTTTTGCCAAACTTAAAATACTAATAAAAAAGTCATCTCAATTCCCTGACTAAAGTGATGGAAATTAGTGTAAAACTGCTTAGAGAATTCTCCATGCTTTGGCATCTTAATGTGGATGGACTTTGGGGCATCCACAAATAAAATTATGTAGAATATTGTGTTTGTGCATATGAGCATTTGGGGCAAGAGTTGGTCCATTGCCTTGGCTCTAGGAGGGCTTAAGCAGCACTCTGAGTTTAGCTGTGGGGCAAGGGGGCTGTCAAAGCATCGCTGTGCCTACTCAGTCTAAGTATAGACCCAGCCAGCACTGTGTGCTCACCATTTTTCATTTTGGAGGTTCTAGTTCCACAATTATAAGACAAGTCTCAATTCGGTCCTGTGGACATAAGGTAAGTGCTGGGGCTTCCTTAGCCAGGTCATTCTCACCTGTTTACCAGTAGGCTTTCTAGATTATCTGGAAATTATACTTAGAAGCTGGACAGTGTCTTTACTGAATATAATTCTAGGCACTAGGGAGTGTGGTGTGTGTGTGTGTGTGTGTGTGTGTGTGTGTGTGTGTGTGCGCGCGTGTGTGTGTGTGGTGTGTGTGTGTGTGTGTGTGTGTGT